GAAGACCAGAGACAAGGACACGGGAGGCCATGCTCCGGAGACGAAGCAGGGAGGGGTGGCCAAGGCGGTGGTGCCAGAGGAGAGTCTCGTGAGACAGGAGGCGACACGAGCAGGGGGCAGACTCAGGACCAGACCTGGACGCTGCAGCAAACACCTGACCCGACGCAGCTACCTGACCAGACGCAGGGACTGGAGGAGACGCAGTGGTCAGTGTGTACAGGCTCGACCCTGGCCGACGTGTAAACGTGGCCAGGTGGCGGCCTGTCCGAACGTCCGTGCAGTGGGTCACCCGCTGACTCGCAGGAGTGAACTGGTGAACCCCCGCATCCTGTAGGTCAGCACCACTCACCAAGTTCGTAGAGAACGAGGGGAGGTAGAGACCAGACAGGGTGCCAGAGGGGGCCGCCGGACACGGGAGGACAGTGGAGAAGTGAGCAAGGACAGGACCCCCAGAGGGGTCTGCCAGGGAGACCGCAACTGGCCGGCCAAGCGGCGTGAGTGTGGTGCGGTCTCGAAAGAAGGAGCGAGAAGCCCCCGAGTCAAGTGTGAAGGTGTGGGAGGCCGAAGCCGACGCAGAACCTGAGAGAGCAGACTCACCAGCACCTGAGGGAGCAGACGCACCTAGAGCAGCAGCCTCGCTAGCACCTAGAGCAGCAGCCTCACCAGTACCTAGAGCAGCAGTCTCAATGCCCGGGTCGGGCGGAAAACACCGGTAACAGTCACCCTCATCACTAATAGTCACAGTATACACGGCAGCAAGAATAGCATCAAAGTCAAGGTCAAAGACAGCTACACCCGCCCTAGACAGCTCACCCCAGCGGGGGATCTCAGTGGCCTCAGGGAACTGGTGACGCCAAGCGTCCGTGAGGCGGCCAAAGCAGCGCTGGGTGGAGTGCGCACCCCCGCACTGCTCACCCGCGCGGTCGCCAGTGCGCAGGACGTAGGTGCACGGACCAGCACCCCCACCCCTCTGGCGTGCAGTGTACCACTCACGGAGCTGCTGAGGGGAGGGGACGTCACGAGTGCGCTGCTGCTGCTGCTGCTGCTGGCGCTGACCACCACCGGAGCTGACCCTCTGCGCAGCGCCACCCCGACCAGCTCCACCTCCTCCGCCGCCTCCTCCTCCACCGCCGCCACCTCCGCTCCCTCCGCCACCGCCGCTGCCTCCTGCGCCTCCACTGCCGCCACCTACACCTCCACCCCCGCCACCACTCCCACCGCCACCCCCACCTCCTCCACCACCTCCACCGCCGCCTCCACCGCCCCCGCTAGCTCCTCCAGCGCCCCTGCCCCCCTTGCCCCTGCCAGGGCGGCGTCTCCCGCTAGGGGTAGACGCTGCCCCAACCGACTCCAAACCAGCGAGGTCGGCCGCAGCAGCAGAGGCAACAGAGGGCAAAAGAGGGGAGGGGGAACACCCCTCAAAGATGGGGGTGCGAGGGTCACCACGAGAGGCTCCTACAGCGACTATGCTCTTTTCTGCTGCTAGGAGGGCCTTCTCGAGGAGGTCAACGGTGAGAGTGGTGGGACAAACCGAGAGGAAGTGGTCCCTGACTACGCGAAGGGAGTCAGGGAGACGGGTGACTATGTAGTAGAGGGTGATGTACATGGGGGGGGGGTTCTTGGCGCAGAACTCAGCAGGAAGCGCAGCGCGGTAGCGAGTGTCACTAGAGCGGAGGTGCGTAATGAGGTCAGCGACTGTGGGAAAGGCAGCAAGGTCAGGGAAGAGGTACGGTAGCATGAGGCGGCTCAGTGCAGCAGTGGCAGGGGAGGAGTAGCGTGCAACTACAGCGTCGTACAAGGTCTGAGCACTCTTGTACTGGCTAAAGTGCGCACGCTCAGAGGTAGGGAGGTGGCGACGCACAGCAAGATGTGCAGCAGCATCGCGCGTGGCCCACTGTGAGCGAACGGTGGCGTCAGCATCAGCAGCGGGGGCAGGAGAGGCACCAGAAGTGAGGTCAAAGAGGGAGAGGCCGTCTGCTCTGTCGCACTGTAAGAAAAGCTGCAGGTCATCTATCCAGACGTCAAAGTCAATGGCCCGACCCTCAGCGTCAAAAGCGAGGACACTAGGGGTAGCCATGACAGCAGTAGACTAGCAGTGCAAACAGTAGGGCAAGGGCAGTGCTGTGAGAGAGGCGCTGCTCTTACCGGACAGGGCGGTTCAGGCGGCTCGGCTGCAGGGCGGCTCGGCGGCTCGGCGGCTGGGCGGCTCGGCGGCGGGGCGGCTCGGCTGCTGGGCGGCTCGGCTGCGGACAGGGCGGCTCGGCGGCTGGGCGGCTCGGCGGCTCGGCTGCTGGGCGGCTCGGCTGCTGGGCGGCTCGGCTGCTGGGCGGCTCGGCGGCTGGGCGGCTTGGCTGCTGGGCGGCTCGGCGGGGCCGCTGAGAGGGCGGCGTCCGGCGCCGCTGGGAGGAGGCGGCGGGGCCGCAAAGGTAAGTGGCGGGGCCGCGGAGGTAGGTGGCGGGGCCGCACAGTGAGGTGGCGGGGCCGCCAAGGTAGGTGGCGGGGCCGCACAGGTAGGTGGCGGGGCCGCGGAGGTAGGTGGCGGGGCCGCACAGTGAGGTGGCGGGGCCGCGAAGGTAGGTGGCGGGGCCGCACAGGTAGGTGGCGGGGCCGCGGAGGTAGGTGGCGGGGCCGCACAGTGAGGTGGCGGGGCCGCGAAGGTAGGTGGCGGGGCCACACAGGTAGGTGGCGGGGCCGCACAGGTAGGTGGCGGGGCCGCGGAGGTAGGTGGCGGGGCCGCGAAGGTAGGTGGCGGGGCCGCACAGTGAGGTGGCGGGGCCGCGAAGGTAGGTGGCGGGGCCGCGGAGGTAGGTGGCGATGGGCGCGACGGGCGCGACGGGCCAAAAGGGCGGCGCGACTCGGGCCGGCGCAAAACGCGCTCCGGGCAGGAAAAAAAATTTTCGTGGTGGTGGGCCCTAGGAATCGTTCCCACTAGGGAACCTGCTCGATACCATGAGAAGAAACGAGGAATGCAATGACTAAGTGAAAGTTGGGTACAAGAAGCAAACCCTAGACAACTGTACCCCATATGTGCTACCCCACTATAGCCTACAGTAGCTATGTCATATAAATCTGACACCAACGGCTCCGTAGGAGCAGAAGACGAAGGCTCCGAGAGGGTAGTTTTTAGAAGAAGAGTTCGATCCGAGTCGCCAGTGGTGCCTTGAGCCGAGAAGTTAAGTACGAAGACCCCGTCATCTGCCTTTCCGATGTAGGTGTTTTTGGGGTAAAGCTCGAAGGTCTTGTCTTTGCAGTTGCTGCGAATGTCGATACCGCACCGCATTAGATATGCTGATGAAAGCAGGTTGTATTGGAGATCAGGGGCAACCAGGACGTCGCCGATGTGAATCGTGAAGTGAGTATCTTCAGCTTCAAGGCAGACTTCCCCATTGTCGTAGGCCTTGAGGCGTCCGTTGTTGGCGACAGTGATCTCGCATGGTCTCCTCATGCGTTTTGAGTTTTTAATGAATGTTGGTGATCCCACCATGTGTTGCCCGCAGCAGCTGTCAAGATACCAGGTCTTGATGTCCTCGCGGTTTCGTCAGGCAATCCCAGCAATCTTCGGAGTAACGACACGGTCAAAATATCCGGTGTAAGGTGAGAGGTCGATGTAGCGCCTCGCGGGAATGCTAGGAGGGGACTCTGGCGTTGGCGGAGGCAGGTCGAAATCAGGTGGGTATTTTGAGGGTTGATCGATCCAAGTGTGAATGATGGGGTCGTTGTCTTGACTGGGCGCGACAGGGTCGATGGGAGCGTCAGGCGGGAACTCTATTTCGTCGTAGTATCGAATCCCTCTGCGACGACGCACCATGCAGCTCATAATTGACCCTTTGCCTTTGTCCTTGGCCGTAATGCGTGCAGGTGTTTGAGAGGTGCTCGCAACCGAAGGAGGCGATATGGTGGTTGTTGCAGCAGGAGAGGTTGAGGGCGCTGAGCTCTGTTGGCCAGAAGAGCTGTTAGCGTCTTTCGTCAGCCGCCTTTCGCTTGTAGCGCCGATCGATTGTGTGTCCAGGTTTCTTGCAGTATTTGCAGAAGGCCACTTTCTTCCCATGCTGCTCCCCCTCAGTCGCGCCAGTGTAGAAGACTAATTTCTCCCGCTTGGTGTTCTTCTCATTGTACAGATCGATCTCCTTTTGCTCAGAGAGAAGCGTGGCGCACAAGGCCGACCGGAGACGGCTGCTCGAGCACGAAGCAGCGATTGGCATTGACGCCAGTCGGGTCCGAGGCCGGAGAGAACCATCGAGACGAACATGTCGTCAGGGACGGATCCGCCGCACTTCTTGATGTGGTCGCGCAGGTGTTAGAAACTAAGAGTGAACGAGAATGATCAAACTAGGAATGAGGGGGATACAAGTAGGAAACCCTAACAAGTTGTACCCCCTAAGGCTAAACCCACTATAGCCTACACAATATAAACATATAATGTTTGACACACCCCCATAGGCTAAGTGGGAGACAACCAGATGGTCACAAGACCACTCAAAGCAAGCAAAGCAAGCTCAGGGTGGATCTCAAGGAAACCACACAAATTCTGAGCACAAGCAAGTGGTCACAAGACCAGTTCACATGCAGTTTGATAATATAGCAAGAGGTACAGTGATCACCACCTAGCAAGTGTAAGCATACAGGTATATATATAGAGATCACAGTACAAACAAAGTCAAGAAGTAAGCAAGTGAGGTACAGTAGGCACAAGGCCTAGAACAGTACAGAAGCGCTGATGATCACAAGGCTGAAGCGCCTTGGTGAACACATCAGCAGTGTTGGCCCGAGTGGCCACGTACGCAAGACGAAGCTGACCGCGCTGCTGCAGCTCTCGAGCAAGGAAGTAGCGCAGAGCGATGTGCTTCGTCCTGTGCTCCAGTCTGTGCTCCTGACACAAGGCAATGGTGGCCTTGTTGTCAACGTACAGCACTGGAGGAGAACTAGGCCGCTCTCCCAGGTCAGTCAGCAGGTAGGTGAGCCAGCATAACTCCTGTGCAGCCATGGCTGTGGCGTAGATCTCAGCCTGAGAACTGAAGACGAGCGAGTCGAGCACCACGAAACTGAGCCAGAGCCAAGGCTGAAGGTGTAACCCTGAGACGACCGCTGAGTAGCCTGGTCGTCAGCCCAAGAAGCGTCAGAGTGTCCAGTGAGGACAACGTCGCGCCGTCCTCCAAGCACAAGCCCCATGCCCGACGTACTGCACAAGTAGCGCAACACCCTCTTAGCGGCATCCATGTGCTCCTTCCGGTGACGGCCAGGAGCGACATAGCGTGCGAGGATGCTGAGAGGGTATGCTAGGTCAGGTCGAGTGCAGGTCATCAGGTACATGAGGCAGCCGACAAGCTCTGGATACGGGCCACTCGGCTCTACGGACTCATCCGAAGGCAGAGCTGAGAGCGAGTGACCGGTAGGCAGAGGAGTGGCCTGAGGCGAGGAGTACGTGAAGCGGAAGCGCTGAAGGACCTGCTGCACCATGTGTGACTGAGTCAAGGTGATGGTGCGCTGTGCTCTCTTGAGCTAATACAACAATTCTCTCACTCAACTTTTTAGGGTTCTTAGATTCTTTCACAATGCCCTTGTCGCACGCACTTACCGTTGAATGCCCGTGTTGCACGCACTCACCCTCGATGCCCTTCTCCCGCGCCAGCCCACAGTAGCCTAGCACGACCTCCTCGAGCCACGCGCGCGGCTCAAAGGGCGAGCAGCAGAGCGCCATGCGGCGCGCCTCGAGCTTGGAGAGGTCGAGCACGCGGTTGACGAGGCGCACCGTGTCGTACGCGGCAGCGCGCGCCGCCCGCACGTCCTGTAGCTGGGCGGCAGAGAGGCGGCGGTCCTCGAGAGCATCGAGCAGCCCCACGATGCCGAGCATGGGCGTGCGCAGCTCGTGCGACATGGACGCCACAAACGAGCTCTTCGAGCGCTCCGCTGCCCTCGCCTTCGCTCTCAACTGGTCCGCCGCCGCCATGCTCTCCTCGCTGCGCACGTACCCCACCCGCTGCTGCCACGCCACCCCCGCCACTAGCGCCGTCACCATGAGAGCAAGAGACGCCCACAGGAAAGGTATCCCCCACGAGACCCACGTGCTTGGTGCCTCCACATAGCTGGGTGGTGTGAAGTGAAGGGACCAACCAAGTGGCAAGGAATCTCACAGATATTGATCGGCGGAGTATTTAGAAGAAGGCAGTTTTGCAAAATGACTATCTGATGACGCATGAGTGAAGGGCGTGTTTGTGAGTAAGGGCCGTAGCAGCACTCACCATCACTACACAGCACTCCCCGGCAGCACACCGAACACTCACTGGCAACACACAGAACCCTCACCGGCAGCACACAGAACACTCACCGGCACCACACTTGGTAGCGCCGCAGGCGACCACCAAGCAGGTCGAGCGGCACGATAGAACGCTCCTCCCACGGGCGCGTGACGTAGGCCGGCGAGATGTCGGTCATGGGTAGGAGGTCGCGATTGCGGTAGAACAGAAGGCATGGGCCCGGGCCATAGATCATTGCCGGGCCCTTGGGGTCTGTGATGTCATACACCTCGAATGTGATGCTGGGGTCTGGGGGATGGCAGAGACATGCAGGGCGCATCGACGGGACATTCAAGGCAGATTATGGTGAGGCAAGAACGGAGAGAGGCAGGAGCACGGACAGGGTAAGGAAGGTAAACTTGAAACGCAAAACGAAAGCTGCCCATCTGGTTGGTTGAGGGATGTAAGCATGTGGGTGCTTCAAGGGGCAGCGGTGAGGTGCAGCACAAACGGAGGTGGTGAACAAGCTTTGCAACACCTGGCGTGAATTGCAGCACAGCACCTGGCGAGAAGACGTTTTGCAGCACGTGGCGGGCAATCATCACGAGGTCCACATTCGCCCCAGCTGCTCCCAGCACCGCCTCCTCCGCCTGCTGCTCCGAAGGAACCGGTGGCAGCACATGCTTCAAGATGGGCACTCTGATGGCTGCTCACAGCGACGCAATCGGGATGTGAGACAGAGGTGAAAAGCAATGAGATTTAATAGAAGAGAGCAACGAGAGGTGCCGAGAAAATGGGATGTGTTGGCGAGGGTAGGGGGGAGGAGACTGACTGAAGCCGGTGAGGTTGAGGGAGAGGTTTCCGATGGGCATGACACGGGTGAAGATGATGTCCCCCGTCCTGCGCAGAAAGGCGAGCTCGTCACCGCCACGCTGCATGAGGTCTACCAGCGGGTAGATCTTCCAGTACGAGTGAAGCTCGAGCAGCCTGGGGCAGTACAGAGGCTGCTGCTGGCGCCGCATCAAGGTGAAGTCCAGAATGGGGCTGTCGTACTGCCGCTCAAAGGCACGCCTGCGCACGACACAGCAGAGGGAAGGAGTGTCCCGGGCGGCAAGCACACGGAAGGAGACCGGGAGATTTGGCGGCTTTGAGCTGGGGGATGGGTGTGAGCCAGACCAGAGGAGGGATCTTGTGAATGTGCTTGGAGGAACGGAGTCCAGTTGAGTGGTGGGTGATTGGGAGCGCGGAAGAGAGTGTTAGCACTGTGCATCAGTTGGCCCACTGACTGACCTCTCTGCATCTGTGACGAAGAGGTAGACCATGGCGCCGGTGTCACCCGGTCGGGAATATCGGGTGTTGTTGACATAGGCAATCCAGCGCTGCTCCGTGAGGCACCTGTCCCACGTCCAGTTGCCGTGGCCCCTGGGCTTGCCCATCACCGACGCCAGCCCCGCCAGAGTCTGCCAAAGGTGGGCCGGTGGATGCGAGGCAGCACGAGTCAGGTGGCAGCAGCGTACACTGGCTGGCTGACAGACACTGCACGTCACTGCCATGACATGGCATGTCAGATTGATGTGTGTACTGCTGTGATCCATAAACTAGTAAACGTACACAGCCTTGTGCGCCTGCATGCATGGTGCTGTGGTATGGAGAGAGAACATGCACACATCTGGTTGAAACCAGAAACCACCAATGTGCCTCCTTCTTGGTCACTGGATCAAACCCCTTATCAAATCTAAACTCCTCCTTCCCCCCTTCTTCCCTCCCCCCCATCCCCTTTCCCCCAATCGACCCCTTCCCTCCAACCGACTCCCTCCCCCCGCGATGGCCTTAAACAAGAAACAGACGAGCGGGAGCCAGGGGGGGAGACAGGGGAAGTTGACGTAGCGGTGGACAAGGAAAGCGAAGAGCTCAGCATGCCTCGTGCTGTGATGAGTTGGAGAGCCAGCGCAGAGCAAGTATGGCACACTTCGCGGTGGGTGCGAGGGCGATATTGCAAAATGGCATATCATAGCATCTGCCGGAAGCTCCCAACCCTAAAAATCACTCATATCCCAGAGCTCAACATTTTGGGATGAACGTTTATGTGAATGCCGGGCATTCTATCCCCTGTATGGCCTGAGGCGCATTGAAAGCGCTCACCCGAATCTGGCTGACGGTGGTGAGCGTGTGTTGCTCGAAGAGCTTGGCGCGCTCGTAGCACCACGTGTCGAGGCGGCGGTAGCGATCGCCGAGGTACGTCGCGTGCGTCGAGTAGCAGAGCCACGCCGCGAACGCCACGCCCGAGAGCAGCCATAGCGCGAGAAGGACGGCGAAGACACGGCCTGGCGGGAGTGTGGCGCAGACAGAGACACAACGGGACGTCACATTTGTACGATAGTAACATCCCCGCTTGCGAAGCATCGACGCGATGTGACAGGCCATCATCATTATGAGAGCCTAGTCACGGCACCCCTCCTGCTACAAGGCGACGGCGTTCGAACAATGTCGATACCTCGGAAGAGCCGCGGTATCAGCGGAAGTAGGTGTAAAGAAGAGCGGAGCTCGGCGCTCCATTCGGCCTTCCGAAGCGCGAATGTAGCCTCACGGCGGACGTCTATCGAACTCACCTCGAAACACTAGATTCTGGATCGCGCGTTTGCCGGAGGACAGCGACGATGAGCCGCTGCTGTGCGAGCGGTGTAATCCATTGCGGAGAGCGTGAAAATAAGACATCTCTAGAACATGCCGGAACAATCTCCAAAAAACAGTGACCTGGCATATTTGGCCAAACGCTCCTAGTAGCAAGAGAGCTTCTCCCCTCTGGTTGAAGGTAACAATGACAACGTGTGCGTGCACGGATGCTCGGCTGGTGTGGCAGTGGATGTTTGAGAACCCATAGGCTAGATCATACATTTTTGTTCTGGATTCGTTTCGAAGGGTTCATCCTGAACGGTCTAAAGCGGTGAAAGCTCAAATTTGCGCCCAAACGTAACTGACCGTATTCAACCACGTCAAACGCACCCGGGATGTTTTTCCTCGTGTTGTTGGGTTCATTCAATTCCAAACATAGGGACTCTGGAGAGAGATGGACGGCATCAGCCGCCCATATTGGTGGCATTCCACTTCTAGTAGCCAGTCTTCCATTTCACGCCAGGTGGCGGTGGGTGGGACAATCCAGGTACATGTACAGAAGAAGTGGCATCTCTGCGTCTGCCTCTGGGAGTCGTATCGTTTTGTTCTACGACACCCTTGTCAAATCAGGGTTCCTCCCAGACGCTTCGGGCCAGTCTAGAGGGAAAGGTTCTAATAGCTGAAGTCTATTTGAGATTCAAAGTCTCCATTTGAGATTCAAGTCTCCGGGGTGTCACAAGGTGTAGGAAATAAGTTTGTGCTTAGCCAATTCAATACAGAAGAAGTGGCGGCCTAATTTGGCCCTTCGGACATTGAGCGCGCTGGTTGAGGGCCATGTTTTTCAGTGCAACAAATCCTGGTGTGTTGCCCCGGGTTGTAGGAGTACACAAACTCGGACATTGGCAGGGAAATATATTGCAAACTCGGATTGTTGGGCTCGATTGTCCAAACTATTTTGCAGGGTACCCCGGTACAACCTGCGAAGAAGAGCCAGTGTTTCGTCTGTACACGAACAAAACCCTGCATTCCGGTGCTGGTTCTAGACAGACTGTACCAATCGTTGTACACACACAGACGAAATCAAAATTGGAATCTAGAAAGTTACGATGTGGTGGTGAATCGCCTTGGTGCACACCACCAACCCGAAACGAGTGTATTTTGGGCACCCTGCTGGAAACGAGTTACCACTAACCTTGTCTCATTCGATTGTTCGAAATGGAAGTGTAAGGGCGTGGGCCCAATCGTGTTTGATCGCCTCGATCGCATGCGATCAATAATATCTAGAAAGCCTGGAAGCCAATTTTATGCAATCAGAGGCAATCAGCTGATCGCGATCAACTGATCGCCCTAACTCAATCAGTCCCGATTTTCACCCCGATCAAAGTCGATTTTCCTCGATCACAGGCGATCACCTGATTGCATGTGATCGGGGCCCACATCGACGCTTGCGAGTAGTTACACTGTTAAAATTAAAGGGAAACGAAAATTTCGCCAGGTGACGTACGGTCGCCAATCTTGCTAGAATGGGGACGAAATTGGGATGTAAATGTTCAGCGCTTGCTCCGCAGGCGCTGGAAATCTTCTTCGAAAAACATCTCTGCTCGGGCGGCTCGGGCACTGCGATCACAAGCAACCCGATTAGATCCGACCCGATCAGATCAATCGCGATCAAACTCGATTGGGCCCACACCCTAACGAAGTGTTGTGATCCAACCAGATTGGGCTGGATTGGATGGCCCAACTAACCCAATCTGAAAGGCCTGTCGGTACAAGGGCATTTGCCCTTTTTACCCGTGAATTCAAGCGATGTTCGGGCCCAACTCAGAGTACCCAAAATCCAAGGGTTGGCTTTGAGGCCAGCCCGTTTTCCTTACGGGCTGGTTTAGCGCCCAACCCGGATTTCACGTATACTTTTAAACCCCTCGCCTACCTCCTTACCACCTTGTTTCCCTTATTATTTCTCCCCTGATTATGTAGAACCGCCTCACTTTCTCCCACCCCATCTTATTGTAGATCGGCTTTATAGATTTGCTCCGTACCGCAACCCATCGGTGTAATTGAACATCAACGTACTCACGATGTGTTTACACTTAAGATCAGAAGGATGTGTAGCCCTGAATCCAACTGTTGGAATTTGACTCAACCTCGATATTTGAAAACTGAATGCATGCCACCTCAACCTGCTAAGTTCTGGGCCCAGAGCAAGCGACATCCTTGATCTGAATCTAATGGCGACTCGGGTTTTCCAAGAATTTCTCATTGTCTTCGGCGCATCCTCGTGGCAGCTGCAACGCTTTCTTAGCGGCCTCATTGCTGGTTAGGCAACTTGGGACTGTCAATCTGTTATATTATTGTGTAGGCTGTAGTGGGTTAGCCCATATGGGGTACAGCCCCAATTAGGGTTAGTACTTGTATCACATTCTTCCTCAACACAAAAATTCCTGCTCGTTAGTTTCTGACATGGTTTCAGAGCATTAGGTCCTTAGGACCGTTTTTTTTTCGGGCCCACCATTAGCTAGTGACCGACTGCAGTTACCGCACTACCCCACGCCCTGCCCTGCGTCGAGCCGCCAGCGCGCGCCCTGCCCTGCCTTGCGTTGCGCCGCCCCGCGCACGCCCTGCCCTGCGTCGCGCCTCCCGCGCACGCCCTGCCCTGCCCTGCGTTGCGCCGCCCCGCACACGCCCTGCCCCTTGCAGCCCGCGCGCCGCCCGTCTGCAGCCCGCACGCCGCCCTGCTGGCAGTGCGCTGCCCTTTGCAGCCCGCGCGCCACCTTTGCAGCCCGCGCGCCGCCCTTTGCAGCCCCGCGCGCCGCCCTGCTGGCCGTGCGCCGCTCCATCCTGCCCGCGCGCCACCCCTGCCTGCCCGCGCGCCGCCCCTGCCTGCCCGCGCGCCGCCCACTGCAGCCCGCGCGCCGCCCTGCTGGCCGCGCGCCGCCCCTGCCTATCCGCGCGCCGCCCCTGCCTGCCCGCGCGCCGCCTTCTGCAGCCCGCGCGCCGCCCTGCTGGCCGCGCGCCGCCCTGCTGCCCGTGCGCCGCCCTTACCTGCTCGTGCGCCGCCCTGCTGGCCGTGCGACGCCTTTTCTAGCCGTGCGCTGCTCTGCCCTGCACACGCTCCGCCCTGCTAGTCTCGCGCCACCCAGCTATGGCTACTCTCAGCGTACTCTCGTTCGATCCTGAGGGCCTTCCGATACAGTTCGATGCGTGGCTCGATGACCTACAGCCCTACTGAGCAATTATAGAGACGGCGTTTCGTTGTTTGACCTCACATCTGGAGCCTCTCTCGCCCCTCCCGACACAGCTGACAGTGCGACTCGCTCACAGTGGCTTACCCGTGACGCTGCTGCTCGCCTAGCCGTTCGCAACCACTTGCCGTTAGACGAACGTAGAGCCTAGAGCCCTGTACGACGCTGTAGTCGCTCGTTACTCCTCCCCTGCCACTGCTGCTCTAGGCCGCCTTATACTGCCCTATCTATTTCCCGAGCTGTCCGCCTTTGCCACAGTTGCCGACCTCATCACTCACCTTCGCACTAGTGACACTCGCTACCGCGCCGCGCTTTCCGCCGAGTTTCTAGCCAAGAACCCCCCTCCCATGTACATCGCTCTCTACTTCATCGTCACCCGCCTCTCTGACTCTCTTAGCGCAGTCAGGGACCTCCTTCTCACCCTTGACCCCACATACCTCACTGTCGACCCGCTCGAGAAGCACCTCCTTGCAGCTGAGACCAGAATAGTCGTTGTAGGCGCTTCTCGTGGCACTCCTCGCACTCCCTTCTTTGAGGGGTGTTCCCCCTCCCCCCTTGTCCCCTCAGTCGCTTCTGCTGCTTCTGTTTACTTCCTTCGTGCTGAGGAGGTCGGAGCTGCGTCTGCTCCTAGTGGGAGGCGAGGCAGCGGCAGGGGAAAGGGAGGCAGGGGCGGTGGGGGTGGCAGCGGTGGAGGCGGTGGTGGGGGCGGTGGATGTCAGAATGTAGGAAGGAATGAATGACTAGAATGGCAGCAGTACAGGGTTTGTATAGCAAAACCTAATTGGCTGTACCCCATAAGGAGTGCCCCACTACAGCCTAGAGCATAGTTCTGACACACCCCCATAGGCAAAGTGGGGGACAACCAAGAGAACGAAGCAAGGTCAAGCTCAGGGTGGATCACAACGTCACCACGCAGTCCGAGCACAAGCAAATGGCCACAAGGCCAGTTCACATGCAGAGTTATATAAAGCAGAACAAGCAGTACAGTGATCACAACCTAGCAAGTGTAAGCATGCAGGTATAAGTATATAGATCACAGTACAAGCAAAGTCAAGAAGTAAGCAAGTGAGGCCAAGTAGGCACAAGGCCTAGAACAGTACAGAAACGCTGATGATCACAAGGCTGAAGTGGCTTGGTGAAGATATCAGCAGTGTTGGCCCGAGAGGCCACGTAAGCAAGATGAAGCTGGCCACGCTGCTGCAACTCTCGAGCAAGGAAGTAGTGCAGAGCGATGTGCTTTGTTCTGTGCTCCAGTCTGTGCTCCTGACACAAGGCAATCATGGCCTTGTTGTCGACGTACAGAACTGGAGGAGAACGAGGCGGCTCTCCCAAGTCGGTCAGCAGGTAGGTGAGCCAGCGTAACTCCTGTGCAGCCATGGCCCCTGCGTAGAACTCAGCCTCACAACTGGAGCTGAGAACAGAAGACGAGCGGGTAGACAGCCAAGAAACAGAGCCGGAGCCAAGGCTGAACGAGTAACCCTGTGACGACCGCTGCGTAGCCAAGTCGTCAACCCAAGAAGCGTCTGCGTGACCAGTGAGGACAACTCG